GTCGGCACTCGGAGAACGACGGCAACTCAACGCATCCTCGGCTCGACGACCACTTTTCCGGGACAACTAAAAGGTACGTCGTATATGCATGCATGCATCAGTAGTTGCTGACGTGCGCTTCTTTGTTAAAGCCACAATAGTTTTCGAGTTCGCAAGATTGAATCGCACACCCGCTAGCCTAATCGAGTACCGCTATGTGCGATTTTCCCCGTTCGCTTTTCGAAGACAGCTCGATTAGATTTTCAAACGAAGAAAACGGAAAGAGTTTCACTACGTCGTGAATAGTTCCTCTCGTGTATCTGCTTGTTGCTCGGAAATGCACGATTGCAGATGTCATACGAAAAAACTGGAAAGAGTTTCACGGCGTCGTGAATAGCTCCTCTCGTCTATCTGCTTGTTGCTCGTTGCTGCTCAATTGCTGTTGTCATATGACAGTTTGCTCACAAAAGTTTACGATTGTGAACTTCGAACTGCTGCACGTACACGGGGATTTTCCTTTTTAATTATTCTTCATTGATTGTTTTCAAGACATTTTCACGTCTATGATACAATGCTGCCCTCTAGGGGTCACAATAGATACTGTTGTAAAGTGAGGGAGTGGGAAAAAAAAGGAAGATACGGTCAATAGATGGTGTCAAAAGTTTAGAATGAATTTGTTGTTTTGATATTTTTTGTACCACCCCACAAAAAAATGTCTCTTGAGCAGGGGAGTGCAGACTTTATATCTTCAGTTTACCAATCGAGCTCTCGTTCAAAAAAAAAAAACTCCATTTGACTTTTTAGCATTTATGGCAGAGGCTTAAGTAAAGTCAAAACCATCGCGGTTTTCAGTCGTAATGGAAACTATTGAAACTCCACACTAAAAGCGAGGTGTATGCTGTCCATGTTTGCTTTTAAAATGTTGTTTCCTGGCTCCTTTAGAGATGGCTCATTCCAAACCTCTGTTCATCCAGTGGCTTCGGGCTCAAATTGACAGCGGCGCGTATCCCGGCGTTCAGTGGACCAACCAGGAGCAAACGGAATTTTGCATCCCTTGGAAACACGCTTTGAGACAGGACTCTTCTGATTCTGACATTCTCATCTTCAAGGTACCCCCCCCCCCCCAACCCCCAAGAAAGAATAACAAAACTGAAACTTAGTGTCATGCTTCGGGGCTCTTTTTCTCCCGCTGGAACTGCCTCATTGCCAGCTATCCTCGCCGTGAATAGTCGTTGCCGTGTTTTGAACGCGTGTCTCTTGGCGCACTCCAGGCCTGGGCAAAGGTGAGCGGCAACGGCCGCATCCAGGGAGAGGCCTCTGTGTGGAAGAGGAACTTCCGATGCGCGCTGCGAGCCAAAAAGTTCCAAATGATAGCAGACAACAAGAACGACACGGCAAACCCTCACAAAGTCTACCGCTGGCCGGATGAGTCGACGGCAGGAGGTGAGCCATGCTCACGCGCGGCACTATTCCTGATTCCTGATGGATGACGTTTGCGAAGCTACCTTTTTTTTTTTTTTCTAAGAGAACTCTTCCGCTACACCACCCAGCCAATATGAGCCGGATTGCCACGAAAGCCCTCCCATACAAGAAGTACGTGCCCGTGTCGTGTGCGCGAATGTGTGTTTGCCTTCTCGACAGACGCATCCAAATGTTCACGTTGTGCCTGTCCACCTTTTAGAGCTACGTTGACCCATTCGTGGACGAGTGTCTCTACTGTCCTATCCAAGGTGAACATCGCTAATATTTCATATGGCAGCTTGTGAGAAGAGATTTGCTTCCTTGCTCTCAACTCCAAATTTGCTGACAGAATCCTCCCCCAGTGAGGACCTTCTGCAAACTTGTTTGAAGCAGCTCAACATTGGGCCTCAAGCAGGTACCCAGAATTCATTGACCCTTAAAACCGCCGTCTTAAAATGACCCAATGGGGGTGAAAGATACGCCAATGCAGGTTCTTCTAATGTGACGCATCAAGTTCCAGGCACCTTTGCACCGTCGACTTTTTTAATCCCTGCCAACTTTTTCCCTCCGCAGAAGAAGCGGCGGCCTTTGAGTTTCCTCCCGAGCAACAGGAGCGCCGGCATCCCATCGTGATTGGCGGCCACATGTTGCCGTGGCAACAGCCGCATCCAGTCGCGGCCGAGGATGAAGTCGGCGGAGCCGGGTCGCCGGGGCAACCGGCACACCCGATGGAGGGAGCCGTCGGTGAGGCGTGCGGGGGCCAATTAGCCAAGCAGTTTCTAGACAACATTCATAAGACCAAGGATGGAAATCATTTCAGTGAGTGGAATTAAATTGAAACATTGCACTGATGATGACAAAATTGGTTGCACGGTATCTCCAAGTATGCGTCTCACACACAGCGGTATAAATGTATAGCGCGCAGTGTCGTTAAATGTATTTTATATGATGACAATTTAGACATCAATGTAGATGATTTCCTGTTAAAGCAATGATGAATATTGATTGAATGGATGCACCGTTTCCCTTGCATGTTCAGAGACCGAATTCCGGATAATTGTCCACTACAGAGGGCAGAAGGTGTCGGAACAGCTGGTTGCCAACGAAGCTGGATTCCGCTTAATTTACAGGTAACTTCAAAAACAAATCTCACAAGAGAGCTGTGGGCTAACATAGCATGTGAAATGCCATAGACGGCTAACGAATAGCATCGACGTGGCCGTGTCCAACACCGGAAGAACAGTACTCACGACCATCCAATATTTTTTTTTTTTTTATCCTCCGCAAAAATGACATCTGTAACTGCAGATGAGTCACTTAAGATTTGTTGAGTAAAACTCCTCATTGATCTACTTAAATACTGATCATACTTAAATTCTGGTCATGTTTACTTTATGTCTTGAAGTACAATATTTAGATACTGTAGTTTTATTTTCCAGATTCAAAACACAGTACACACATTTTTCCCCCCAATTTGAAAGAATAATGCCTTCTTTGTTTTTCAGACTGCTTTTTTTTTTGGAACTATTCATTCCAAGTATTAGCCTCACTTTTGATGTCAAAAGAGTTTTGTGTGTGTGTTTTTTTTCTGTGAGGAGTATTTTAGGTTGACGACTGCCGAGTTAAGGGAAGCTATGCTCCAAAACGTCAAAAAGGTACAAAAATGCCTCCGAAGAGCACAAGAATGAAAACAATTGTCTCGACTTCAGGCCTGAGCAGGCGGAGCCTGCCTTGGACCAGGAGTCGGGCCTGTCTTTGGTTTCCCTGCCGAGTCCCGTCACCATCAAGGATCAAAAACAAGCCAAGCTGACCCAGTGCATCCTGGACAAGCTCGGCGAGGGCTTGGACGTCGGCGTGTCGGGCGATGTCGTCTACGGCCAGAGACGAGGCGAAATCAAAGCTTTTTGGAGCTTCTCCAAGTTTGACCACAGCGGACGCCCGCAGGAAATCTCCAAACAGCAGCCGCAGCCGCTTTACCCCTTCCGGGACTTTATCCACGGTACGGTTTGCTTTCTTTCTCATCTGCTGTTTGCCTCGAGGGTTGGATTGAGAGTGCCGTTCGTCTCCTTCAGGGATACTGGACTTTATAACGCTTGAAAGCAAAGAGTGCGGTCCCTGCTCCCTTTTCCTGTGCCTGGGTGAGAAGTGGCCTGACCCGCAAAACTGGCCTTGGACCAAGAAACTCATCATCGTGGAGGTGAGCTCCACTGTGACATGAACAGGCATCCGGCGCGCTCTTTCGGAAAGCGAGGCCCTGTCCAAATAGGACTCGGTGTCAAGGAAGTATGGCCGAGTGACACATTTTCGCCGAGAGTGAGAACCGAAGGGAATTGTCGTCCGTACCTTTGTGGTGATCGGTTCTTCGTTTTCCTTCAGGTGGTGCTCACGTCTTTGGAGCTCTTGAAGAACATGGCCATGGAGGGTGGCGCGTCCTCCTTGAAGTCCGTCGACCTGCAAGTGTCGCTGGAAGAGATGGTCATCGGCTGACGCCGGGCTTTGCCCTTCCGCATGCCACACGTGCGCTCGGCTCGCATTTTTTCCCTTCGCTTTCCTCGCGCCTCTGCAAATTACGGCTTGGTGTGGAAGCGCAATAAAGAAGACCGCCAGTCATCCCGTTGTCATCAATTCTTTAATCACTACCAGCACATTTCAGGTGAGGACTGACTCGCAATCCACGAGCGCATGACGCTCAATGAGCATCAGGTGTTGAAGGTGCGTCCACGCGAGTCGCAACGGATGTGCTCTCGTCTCACCTTGAGTTGTCATTGAACGGAGTAAGATGAAATCGCCAATTCGGTGTCTTGTGTGTGTGCCGTGAGATCTTTTTTGTGGGGGGAGTATACATGCCTAATGGTGATGGGGAGTTCAGAAAAGAAAAGATCAAGGTTCGTACTTCTAAAGGGGAGGAAAACGTCTCAAAACTACCGTTGCCTCTCGGGTGTCAGCGTTAAGCCTCTTGAAAACAGGGCTTCTCAAATTTGGGGGAACCGGGGACCCCCTCACAGGGGGGAAATATTTTTCCCTTTCATAACACCAAGACGTGTTCGCATAAATGCCAAAGAAAGGAGTCAATGTTTCCGAGGACAAACTCCCATTTTCCAAGGGGGAAAAAGTTGTAAAATGGTCTGAGAATTATTCGCGGTATGATGATAATGATGTTGATTTATAGGAAACGTTTTTATAAGAACGAAGAACAAATTTTGTCGTATAAAAAGTTGAGATATTACGGGAATACAGTAAAGTCAGAGCGTTCCAAGATAAAAATCGTTCTATTATTCAGGATATAAAATGTTCACGAGCGAGAAACATCACAAGTGAATTTTAAAAGTACCACTTTCGTCTCGTTATATTTTGCCTTTCGTTCAGATTTATGCGATGATGTCACATGTATCTGAGCTTTTAATTGGCCCAAAGCTAAGCTCGAAAGCAGTGTTTGCGTGATTGGATTTCGTCTACTAGTGTGCTGATCCCCGTATGTTGGCGAAATTTTAGAGTTCATAATAGTTCATTGAAAATGATGTTGAGGACCCTCAAGTTGATCCTCCCCCACCACCCCCGGGGATCCCCGGCCCTGACTTTGAGATGCGCTGCAGTAAAAGGACATCCGAATGAAAGAATGTAGTACTTCATTGATTCTCCTCAACTTCAGCGGTGTCACTGTCTGACGCCGATTCTTCGGTGAGGCTTTCGTCCCGCAGTCCTGCCATCGGGACCAGCTTCCCGTCCGCGTCCACTCCCATTGGCCGAATGATGTTATCCCTGCAGTCATTTGACATGATTTAATGGTGCATGCAGACAGTGAAACTGTACTGAAGACCGACTGTAATCTGCCCTTGGTCTCGTGGCATCTTAGCAGTACCCAACGGGTTGAAATTAGCAACAACAAAAAAATGTCTGAAAGCCACAAATGCGTAAATAACGAACCGCTCCTTTGCTATTCGCTGTTTCTGAAATGCCAGCAAATACCACAAGATGGCGCCAAATCCCTGCCACATATAATAGTCGTGCTTTGGCGTCATTTTGTGGCACATCGGTGCAAAGGAATCATATTGAAGAGAGTGAACCAGCTTCTATTAGTCAGGCCAAAGCCCCGGCTGATGTGAAAAAAGTGCTTCGGCAGCATTTTTCCTTTTTTTTGCATCTGTCGGCAATTCCAAACCCTTATTCATGAAGCATCCATTACTTGTGCATTTACGCTCCGGGCACCTGATCCCCTTTGAATTATTGGGGGGGATTACTGTACTGCGCGCAGACCTGGACAGCTTGTTGAAGATTTTAATGAGCCTCTTGGCCTCCTCCTCCTTCTCCTCCTCCGTCATGCCCTCCATGGGGTCCGGCAACTCCGCTTCTACCCGCCCGGTCACCGGGTTGACTCTGTCTTTAACGCGACGGTATTCCTCGGTATCGGAGTCCGAGTCACTGGAGTAGGGCGTCTCGCCGCAGGAGGTTCTGGATGTCGGGCCAGCCAAAAGACCCCTGGTGGCCAGCAGCCCCGCCGCATTGCCGTAGCCTGTGTACTTGACAAAACGCCTGACTGGAAGAGAAAAGGTATAAACAGGACTATTTGGACATTTTTGGCATTTTACAAGATGTGAACTTTCAGACAATTCAGGCTTGCATTTTTCAGAGTGGCACACACTGTGTTTTTCCACAGTGACAATAGTTACCATTTTCCTTGCAGAGGACAAAAATGAGGTCGGCGGCACAGTGTTTAAGGTCCGTGTCCAGGTGAGTCATGAGACGGATCAGACGGCCCTTGACGGTGCAGCCTTCCTCCGGCCTCTGGGAAACATCTCTCAGAGGAGGCAGAACCTGCAGAGGTCCAAGTCATTTGCCAAAGAAGTTTGCGCTTTGGTCGATGTTACCGTGATTTCGTCACGCTCATTACATATGTCCTGATGAAGTGGCGCGTTTCTTTGTGTGCCCGGCAGCTCTCAGTCAGCAGATTGAGGATTGGCGTCACTTTCTCTTTGATTTTATCCCCCTTCGCAGAAGAAAAGCACTGTCATGTGACTGCCCACCACACGACAAAACTCAGGCCTTAAAAAAAAAAACAGGGGATTCGGGTACTTTGGGATATACTTAAACATTATCTGCCAATAGATCAGGTAAGATTTTTTATGCTAATTTAACCAGAGCTAACCTAAAAACCAAAAAGCACCACTGCCTTATCGGTGCATCGAAACACCCCGAATAACCGCTAGAATTGTGATTGCACACTCCCTTGTATTCAGTCGACTACGAGCAGACTACCGATTCCAGGCGCCTCTCCATAAACAGCAGCAGGATTTGGACGCAGTCCATGTTGACGCCGCGGCACTGCTCCGAATCGGGCTCCAAAGGCACCGTCAGCAGAACATCCAGACACTGGAGGGGCAGCGCTGACAACAGGTTGACTGTGTGACTATGCGACAAAAACAAAACAAAAAAAAAAGGTGGGCAACTTTTGGATAAGAGTACAGTCACATAGACTTGATAGTCCAAATCTTCGGTGGGCCGGACTGTAGAACGGAGCGTGATTATCACAACAGTAGCCATGTGAATCTAGTTGATTGTTAGAAGAGATGAAAGAGAGGGGGTGGGGGGGGGGGGGGGTCTTACCCTTGCAGTTCATCAGTGTCCTCAGGCGTCACGCATTTCCGCATCAGGCAGAGACGCAGGATTGCCACAAGGTGGCGGTAGAGAGCTGCGTCAACCTGAAGAAGGAACCAACACTGATGAGTGCGTTATGCTGATAATAATAATAATAATCATAATACATTTTTGCAAGACCCCCTTTTTTGGCTTTCACACCTGCATTTGTACTTCTTCGCACAGTTCCACAAGAAAATAACATTCTTTTGCGCAAGGAATTACAGAAAGAACAGAGCGAGAGTACCCCAGGGAAGGAAGCAAAACAATCATGAATAACACACGAATTTCCAGACAAGGTTCCAATTCACCTCAGTGGGCGCCTGCCTGTGGGATCTGTGCGTGATGTTGAAAAGGATTTTGAGGATCTCGACGATGCGCTGGGAGGCCTCCAGAGAAATGGGTGGCGCCGCAGGGTCCAGCACGCACTCGTACTGCTCCTTCCACCGCACCTCCAGGCAGCCCTCCAGGGCGGCCGAGAGGATGGAGACGCCGCCGTCCTGAGGGAGGAATTGAGATACAGCTAAAAGTGGAACAAGTCAACTCCTGGTGCTGTACCATCACGTACAGTAAGTCCTGTCTCTTCGTTGTTGTTTTAGAGCAGTGGTTTTCCACCCTTTAAACCTGCCTCAAAAATGCTGACTGTCGCTTTTCTAGTATCAACCTCATGACCGACATCCAAATACAGTCACATAGTAGGCACACGTGTTCTAGAAATCACATTTTATTCCCTAAAAAGTATATTTAATGACATTGTGAGCCACAGTGGCATTTACGCACAGTTTGAAGATGAACACTGTTCTTAAAAGAAACCAGTGGAGAAAAAAAAAACCTGCACTTCAACAATGACAATTTGAGTGCATCCGTGGGCTAAGTTTGGCTCCCGGGCCGGTCTTTCTCGAAAGCCCAAAGGAAAAGCTTGGGTCACCTGCTGAAGCTGAGCGCTGAGCTCGGGCCGCAATGCAGTCACGAGGAAGGTGAGTCGTAATTGGTAGAAGTGAACACTGGAGGGAGCCGAGGAAGCGGCGCTGGAGGAGAGACGCTCTCTGAGGCCGCAGATCAGCCTGAAACAAGGAAGCCAACAAGAGAGGAGCTGCGTGGCCCGCCCACCTTCGCTTTGCCATCTCTGACTCGCAAGAAATGATCGTGACCAAGGAATCCCACCTGAGGGCGCTGAAGCGCTCCTGCGCCCAGGTGCTGTTGTACACCACGTTACACAACACCTTCAAAGCCTCCTTCCTCTGCACCTCCTCGCCCGGCACACTGTCCTCCTCCTCATCCTCGCCCTCCATTTTGCTTTCTCGGCGGTCCCTCCTCCCTTGCTCCAGCTCCTTGTGGTGGATGCTGCCTCTGTGCGCTTCGTTCACGCCGGGCCAGCCGACGCCATCCGAATCGCCGCCGAGGTCCCGGTCGGCATCGTCCTCAAAGGCAGAACCCTCTCGGCTCGGGTCGTCGGCGTTGTCGTCGGCGTCCCCGCGACACGGCGGCGTTGCGACTTCCCGGGCGAGGGAAGAGATGACGTTGTCGTAGAAATCCGAGTCGGGTTCGCCCGCGTCGTCGTTTGGCCGGGTCGCGCTCAACCCGGCCGCTTCGGCCAGAGTGAGGAGAGCGTCGTCGGTCACCAAGGGGCCCAGGACCCTCTTATCACGGGAGAGGATCCGCAGGCTTCGCAGAGCCACTTGCAGCAGATGACACGGGATTCCCGTTCTTATGAACCTCACCAGCACCGCAGCCAAACTCTGAAGACAAACCCGTGCGTACGGTCACCACCGGGCCGTTCATGAATTACCCAATGAACGTGCGGCCCGTACCTGTCTGAGGAGCAGGCCTCGGTCTTCCTGGTCACTCTCGTCGCAGTCGGAATTGGAATCGGTGCTCTCCCTCACTTTATTCTTCCTGAACTGGGAGAACAAGGCAAAGATAAAAACAGCTGATGGTCATGATTGCAACCAATGGCGTTTTCACAACGCGCCAGGAAAACCACCAATAAATTGCGCTCTGCAAAACTTCCAATTTCTCTTTCAAGAGCGATTTACAGACAATAAAAGTGGATGGAGCATCGTGTTTCCCAACCATTTTTGAGCCAAGGCTCATATTTCACATGAGAAAAATGTCATAGCGCGACAATTGATTCTTGAATGTAACACGTCTGTACCTCTTCCAGTTTTCTTTGCTTTAGGCAAGCAGACAGCCCACATGAGCAAAAAAAAAAAAAAAGAAAAGCAGAGGACAGAACAAAGAAAACAAGATCAGCACACAAACGAAAGAGAGATATTCCCGCAGAGTGCTACTCAGAGGCTGCAAGTGGGTGCGGAAAAGATGATCGGGCTCCAGGATGACGCTTATGTGGCGGGGTGCAATCTGCTGAGCGTGCAAACACAGGATCAGGGACGACTGATACAGCAGAATTACTAATCAGAGACGGACTGCGGAGGGCGGCCGCAAACAGGTTGAGGAAGAAGGCCGGGTGACGTACAGGAAAGAGATGGGCGGGGTGGGGGTGACGTTCAGCCGGCGGATGCGGAGACCGACTGCAAAGATGCTTACTTTCCTCCTGTCCCTCTCCTCTGCGTCAAAGAAGAAACAGCGGGCGTACTGTTGGAACACGGCCACACGCGGCCCTCGTCATACAGGCTGCAAAATGAGCAACACGAGCGCGTTTCAAGTACCTCGGCGTTGAATTCCTGGAGCCGGCTCTGAACGCCGCTCACATCCCCGCGCCCGATAGAGCGGATAATCCCCTCCACGTCCACGACCATGTTTCCTGCCGGCGCACAGCCATCATTCAAATGGACGTTACACAATCATCACAAGGAGAGGCGGAGATGATGCGCTAATGGATTGACAAAGGGCTGCCATGCACTCTCGATGGAAAGCCCAAATTGCTGCCAGCGCACGGAACGCATTCAGACCCCGCGGATGGAGTTTGCTTCGACCGACCCGGACCTTAAACCTACCTGGCTTCTTTTTAAATCGGCGGGACGATAGTTTGAAGGCGCGTCGTCACGGTAGCGGAAGCTTCGGCGTTTCTTAGCCCTCGTACGTCGTACGCGGTGTGCAGAGTTCTGATGGGTTGTGCACAGTTCCGGCGGCGCTCCACTTCCCCGCTCACTCTCTCTCTCTCTGCCTCTTTCTCACTCTCTCTCCTGTTAATCTGAGAGAGATGAAGGGGCCGCGGAGTTGATAATCCACTAATGGACTCCCGAGTTAATATCTCTGTGATGACCGGCTAACCTTTTCAAGGTGTTTGCAGGCTCCAAACCGCTCTCTCCTCTCGCTCCCAACCGACCTGTTGCATCATGGAACTCGTGTAACCAGGGCTAAATGTGTCAGAAAGAAAAGCACAAGAAAAAAAAAAAGCATTAGGACACTGTCATTTCACAAAACATTCCAAAACGGAGCGGCACGTTCCACTCGTAGTTGGTACATCCGCCTGACAGCGCTGAGGTTCTTGGTTAGAATCCGGGCTTCGGCCTTCCTGAACGGAGTCTGGATGTTCCTAAACTTGGCCAACTGCCCCGAGACATGTGAGCGAGTTTGGATGGGCCCTACCAAAGGCGGTGTTTGTCCTGTTTTTGCTTTTTACCATGTTGACTCCCAGCAGATGGAGCTATTTTCACAAAATAGCAAATCCACATTTGGACAATTCCACACCGAAAAACGCTGGCTCATGCTTTGAAACAATGCGAGCAAGTGTGTGTCCGGTGACCTGAGCTCAGAGAGCAGGATTTTGTTCAGAGGAAAATTGCGCAAGTCATTTTTCGAACGTTTTTGGAAAACCCGGGAAACACACGATTTCTAACGAACACATTGGTCTTTTTTTTTTTTGTGATTGTGACAGTAAATTCTGCTATGAGGTGAACCACTACAACAGACTGACTTTACCTGAAGTGAGCTGGGTGAGACTTGAGCAGAAAGAAAATGGATGGATAGATGGATGGGCATCGAACGAAGCAATTTTTTAATGGAAAACATCTGCATCGATCTCATGATCTTACACTTATGCATTTTCATATGTGCCATTAAGCATTTACTTCATGAGACAAATGAAGAGAAAAACCGGAGCCCCGAAAAAGCCCGCTCGATGATCGCATCAAACGCGATGGGACTTTATCAACTCATTTCCGATGAGATTGCTGCAATGAAGAGGATGTTTACACGCGCGCGCTCACGAAGGTGTCTTGAGAGTTCCTAAAAGTGGCTCAAAAGAAGATAATCATGTGAGAGGGAATGACGGGCTTTCCTGGCAGGATGCTCACACTTGTGCCCGCTGGCAAGAGGAAGCGGGGCCGAGAGGCTCTTAAGTGTCCAACCGGCGGCTACGGCCTGACAACAACAGGATGTGCAAGACGACAGAGGGAGAAATGTGGGGGGCAAAGGGGAGAAGGGTCCCCACCAAGTGCTCCCAACATATCGTTCTTGAAAATGAACGGGAGACTTGAGGCTGGATATCAAGCAAGTTCAAAAGAGACGGCTGACCATGGGGCACCTTTGAACCAAACCTTGTCACCGATGCATCCATTGATCAATTCTGTCAAACGTGTGCGCAAAATGGCTGCGTTTTCTGAACGGCCAGCAGCAGCAGGAGTGGAGTTCAGGAGCCGGTCAGCCGAAGAGGGTTTGCTTTCGTACGGCACGTAGTCCTTTCCCTTGCCCCGATGTGTCAGCGTGTCAACGAGGAAACGACAAGAGTGTCATAAAAACCACACGTCAATCCTTCTGCATCACACAACACGAGCTTATTATGCTACCTCGCGATGACTCGGTGCTGTGACGACACGGGCCGACCAGATGCTATTTGCCGTGGAGGTAAACAATAGATTCCCGAAGGGAAAAGACCCTGAGAGAAAATGACTGCGGCCATTGGAAAATGCTGGACTGCTTCCAGGCGCAATAGCATCATCGAAATTGGGCTACGTTTTTCGAGGAGGTGTCGCTCTGAGTTTGCGGAAGCTCTGAGAAGTTCCAGCAATACATGAGCCAAGCTCAAGTCACCTCCTGTCATCGACGGTCATTCTTTGTGCGAAAGAGGCCCAATCTAACAGGAGTAAGCATTGCGGCTTCTCAATCTGGTGCTAAACTGCAGTCGCGGACACAACTATTTGATTTCAAGGTCAATTGGCGGGCCGCGCGCGGGCAAGCGGATCAGATGCTTGGAAAAGGAGCAAAGCGGTCACATGCCAACGGGCCCCGCTGACTGTCGGTTGTTTTTCCTCACGCTCCTCTGTAGGGATCGGTGGGAGCGAAGGACGTTTCAGAAATAAACACGCTTGACGGCAAATGTGACTCAAGGGGAAAAGGCACAGGAAAAATGGGGCGATAAAGAAAAGCCCGCAGCTCAGAATCAGCGTTATTTTGGGCGCGCTTCCTGCAGGTGATGGAAAAGAAAGAAAGATGTGTGGAACAATTGCTCAGCAGCAAGTGGACTGTGAGTGGTGGGATGGAGGAGGATGTGGAGGAAAAGGGGGGAGGGGAGGTGCGTATCGGGGAAACGGGGAGGGGGGAGGGGGGGAGCGGCAGGATTACAATGAATGTAAACATCAAAAAAGGTACAAGGTCAATTTGAGTATCATCTCGTGCAATGTTGTTGACATGGAGCCATGCGAGAAATTCGAATGTAAACTCCCGAATGTCAACGGATGACGAGCATGGGAGTTGCGTGGCCTCGAGTGAGCGTGACTCCAGTCTCGGACACACCTCCCTTTGCCCTCACACCCTATAAAAGGCCCGAAGGGGCGAAAGCATGACAGACCGAGCGACTTGGCAATCAAACAGTGACGACAACGCCGACGTCAGATCCATTCGTTGACTCCGAAAGCAACAGCGGATTTCGCCATTTTCTCTGTGGTACGTTTCATCCCGCGGTAAACTTTTGCAAAATACTTCCTGAGCACGGCTTCACTCAATGCTTTCTCAACTGCAGAGCACTGCGGTATGGAGATAGCTGTTCTGCTGCTTCTGACTGTACCTTTGACCGCTACCTCCCCGCTTCGACCCGCTCCCAGGTGACTAGAAAGACAACCTGCACACTCGAGATGCGCTGTCTTGCTTCTTCTTTTTTTCTTCTTCAATTGAACGCATACCTCATTTTGTCTGAATCCCAGCTTCGACCAAGACACCTCCGTCGCAGAGGTCAAGGCATCTGGGTTGGGAAGGTCTGAGGAGGCACGGGAGCAGCAGCGCCTTTCATTCCTCAAGATTGTCCCTTTCAGCACAAGAGGCCAACATCTAGACATGGACGCAATCAAACAAAGGTATTCAATCAATAGGAAGCGTCGCTGCTCTGCTCGAGTACGGCCATTCGACACCGCATTCGGAATTGCTTCAACTATGCATCACGTTACGTCACGTGAGGCGGCTTTCATTTCATTTTCATCCAGGACAGTTCACTTTGTATTTCTAGAACATTCTTTTTTCTTTTTTTTTTGGAAGTACAACTTAGGACCTATTACGTTGCTGTATTTTAATGATGGTCGGTACTTGGAGAGGCAAGCATTTTTTTCAGTTGGTGTAAAAAGTCTGAGAACCACTGTTCAGGACTGCGCAACAGTTTTGTGACATCATTCGAGTTACTTCGTCGTCATTGTCATGTCACAGGTGTCAGCAGCAACAACGGCTGCATTTTCTTTCATTCTGTACTCGGCCTACACAGAGGTGTCGTGCAAGAAAAGTTCACATGTCACTTCAGCCAGCTGTTTTTGATTATTATTATTATTCATCAGTGGCAACCGTGAATTATGCTGGCGTACTGCTCGAACAACAAAGCAAATGGATGCCTTTTGCACAGTACAGTATTCAAATATGCTCAGTTCAATGTCAATGTATCCCACCAGAATATGGGTGAGGTGGTCCGGTTGTTCACCACCACACATTGCCAGATGAAATCTTTATTTTATTATTGTTGCTATTATTCTTACATGATATGAATGGCTTTTCCCCTTTTGCCAACAGCTCGGCAGTACGACAACTTCGTCAGAGGCGCGCGCCCCAGGCTGGATGCAAGTTGGGAACCTGCCACGTCCACAACTTGGCCAACACTTTATACCACATGAGCAAAACGAGCGGAAAAGAAAAATCCAAGAATGCGAATGACCCCCAGGGATACGGCAAATAGACGTTGGGGGGGCGGGGGTACATCCCAAACTCCTCTGTTATGTTTCAAACACCTGTGTGTACTGATTGTCTGGTACTTGTTATGTATGCTATCTGCAAGTATATTTTAATCATGGTTTAAAAGAAATATGATATTATTTAATTGTATTTACAGTAATATATTTATGTTGAGATTAAATTCATGCCAAAACATGACATCTTCTGCCGCTAAGTGATTGTCCCTCCCTGTGCATGCAACCTAAGCTCTGGGTGTGATATTTTTATTCTTATGCAAGAGTCTTCTTGCTGTTCAAACGTTTGTCAGCATAGAACTGTGGCATTTTTGCTCCAAGACGTTCACCCGGAGAGCGTTTAATAAGGGCGAACATCAGTGGCGCTCATGAAACTGACCTCCCCAAGATCCAGGACCAAGTGACATTTGTGTGGCAGGGAGTCACCACTCCTATTTAGAGTTTGGAGGAGGAACAGTATTTGCCTCTTCCAGCCACACCCTCACCTGATAGTTTTTCTTGCTCTGCACCTTCCTTCCTTCCTTCCTGCGTCTGGACTCACTGAGAAACTGGGATAAAATCGGAAGGGGAACTTGTCAGTGAATCATGGTCAGAGAAGACGCGGAATTGAGTGTTTCTCCTGGCATCTTCCTTTGAATCGAGGGAGTGAAAAAAAAGGAAGCATGAGAGACACTGGAGACGCGGCAGAAGGCGGACACAAAAACAACAAATCTGAAAAGGACCAGGTGAGGGGAAAGTTTTGCAATTGTTGAGGAGGAACTTGACGTTGTGAAAGTTGGCAGACGAGAAAGTGAGTCACAATGACGCGTCGTCCACGCCTCGCTAGCATCCAGCAAACCATTCCACTTGCACAATTACGTCTTCCTTATCAAACACGAGGGCAATTTCATCGTAAAATATATTCGGATAAACGCTGGCCACACGCCAGCGCGCTTCCAATTTCCGCGTATCGTGTAAGGCGGCAGCAGTTAGCGACCGGAAAGTGTCACATGCTAGCTTAACAATAGCGGCTATCGGTATTTACTCGAAACGGAAAGTGTGTTTTTGGTCACTTTAACCTGTCAACTGCTTTCACCGCCGTGTGAGGTTTTTCCGCCAAACGTGACCTGACTTGTAGTTTTCAATCGGCAACAGGTTAAACTCCGCGAAAAACGTGACGCCGTGTTCTTCGAACATCAAAGTAAGCGGTACGGTACAGTACCGGAGTACAGTATACAGTATCAACACAATGGCCACGTTCCATGTAGCTTTGATAGGCCAGTTGCTCAGATGCAGTGCACTGGTGTCACCCGGTTGGATTAGTTGAAACAACTAAATGGAACAATGCTCTCTTCGTACTCTTTATAATATGATCATATTTTGTAACTTTTGAGCTAAGAAGAGGTCCATTTTGCAATTTATAACGCTTTTAACCTTCACACGTCTCAAACCTTCACACTGTCTTCACATACACACACTGGGCCAAACTGCACAGCACCTTGCCATAAGTCACAGTCAAGTGCTTTACCTCTGCATGCCTCACCAGTGTAACAGCAGCTATTTTCAAAGAACTGAAGCCGAGGTGCCAAGGTTTGAGTTTCCATCTCCATCATGCTCAGTCAGAAATAAAACAAAGTCTGGTCCATGTTTCAAGTCTGAAATGATGTTGAGTGTGTTTTTAATCGCAGTTGCTTGTTCTTGCAATACGAGTGTAGCCTATACTACCGGAGACAAATTCCTTGTGTGTTCTACATACTGGGCCAATCAAGATGATTCTGAGTCTGATTCCAGAGTTGGATCCCCAAAATCTTCAAGAAAAGAATTTGCAGCACCTTTGTGGAAGATTCTTTAAGGTACTGTGACATTGGCACAGCCCCCAGTTTGTAGCTCATGCGCTTTGATTGACGTGAATTCCTCCGTTTCTCTTAGCAATGGCGCCTTGTGCCAGTGCGGGGGGACCAGAGATACCCACGCCTCTGTGGCTCTCGGCGACTATTTCAGCACGGCCATTGTCAATCACTGGGACAGCGCCCAGCACTCCTCCGAGTACCCGACGGATGCCTTCGGGGAGCTGCAGTTTGCCGGCGCCAGCAAGAGGCACAGCTACGTAGGTCGCTTTCGATCATTCTGATAGATGACTATTACTGGATCAATGGGTGTCCCCCGCCCTGCCCCCTGTGGTCCGGCAGTTTAGGAACCGCTGCGTTTCACCTGTATTGTTATTTGGATCCCTCACGGCGACTGCAGTTCTTGCGGCTGTCGTGGGACACGCCGCCGTCGATGGTCTACACCCTGATGACCGCCCACTGGGGTCTGCCCGCGCCTAACCTGGTGGTGTCCGTGGTGGGCGGCGAAGGCAGGACCAAGGTGAAGACGTGGGTGCGGGAGGTCCTCAGGCAGGGTCTGGTCAAAGCCTCCCAAAGCACAGGTAACATCGTCATTCTGCAAAATATATGCACACTGCATCTTGCCGTCTGTTGCAAATGCGTGGAGCAACATTTTTGTGCCTCTTCAGGAGCTTGGATTTTGACAGCGGGCTTGCGCGAAGGAGTCGGCAGGTGCGTCGGAGAGGCGGTGAGGGATCACGCCACTGCGGCTTCTTCGGTCTCTCTCAACAAGGTGGTGGCTCTGGGCGTAGCCCCCTGGGGCCTGGTCCACAACCGGCAGCAGCTGGTCAATGAACAGGTTGGCCTCTCGCCGCATGGCACGCAGACAAACTCCCAACTTCTTGCTTTTCTCCGTTTTCACCTTCTGGAGCTGTCCCGATACTTGTGTGCATGTTATCTATCTTGGGATCGACAAAACAGAGTTTCTTGACCTTTAATCAAAGAACAGCCGCCACAAAGTTTTCCCATCATTCTTCTTCTTGCAGGGCAGTTTCCCTGCCAAGTATTACGTCCACAACACAACCCGGGACTCGTGCTGCCTGGATAACAACTACCAGGCTTTCCTGCTGGTGGATGACGGCAGCATGGGCCGTAGAGGGGGCGAGACGGGCTTCAGGGCCAAACTGGAGGACTACATCTCCCACCAGCGCACAGGCATTTGGGGTAACGGCTCTGCTCTTAAAGACAACCCATTGTGTGGGCTGATTTTTATTTATTTATTTTTAACAATCAGTGAGCTGAAGGTCAGCTGGCTCCATTGTTTGTAGTTCCCCCCTTGCCCCATGCTATTATTATTGCAAGTATTTTTAAAACGAAACAACCTGAATGAAAAGAAAGTATGAACTCCCCGATGAATCAACCTCACTATCATAACATGTTCTGCAGCATTCGCTGAGCTCTGTTGAACTCTGTTGCGTCGATTCCTCAACTGAAGGCATGCGATGATCCTTCGGTATCTACCGGCAGCCGCTGCATGCCCAAGCATGCATTGAACACGTCGCTTCTCGACATGTAAAGTCAAGATGAGTGCAGTAGCGCAAATGAACAAGATGCCTCAACTGCTTCAACTCTTGTCTGACAAAGAAAAATGCATCATTGACATACAGTACCCATAAGAGAGATACAGGCTGTTGTAAGAGTCAGTGATTTTTTTTTTTAATTTTATTTTTTTCCCCCCCTCTCTCCATAATTCCCTCTTTTTAGGCAGCGGCAGTATCGACATCCCAGTTCTTTGCATGCTAGTCTCCGGGGACGCCAGTCTACTGGAGGTAAAGCTTTGTCACTTTCGTGAGCGCGTCCAAACAACGAGGGACCCTCAAGACTTTGTGTCCCTCTTCCCTTTCGTCCCAGAGGGTGGATCTCTCTCTGAAGAGCTCCATGCCCTGGTTGGTGCTGGCGGGCTCGGGGGGCACGGCCGACTTCCTGAGTGACGTCGTGAAGAATGTGTCGTCAGCGCCGGTCGTCCCCTCTTCCGGCGAGTGCGACGGTGAGGCGGGGCCCAGCGTGGACCTGAAAGACCGAGTGGCAGAACGGGTTCGCAAATATTTTCCGTCAGAAGCAGAGACGGACAAACTTGTTGAGCATGTAAGTGCAACGCCTCTTGTCACACCTACGTGTGTGTTTTGTTGTTGTTGTTGTTGTTGTTTTTGTTTGCTGTCATGCAGCAAACACAAAGGCTCAGCTGGACGCATCCCAGAAGTGGGCCAAATATGGCTCATGGCCCAAATACTACACACATTCCTTCATTCGGAGCACCAAGCATTTATATTACCCAGAGTAATATTTGGAGCCGTTTTTTTTTCTTCTAAACTTAGTTGGTGTATGCATTTTTTTAATCATGTTTATTATTGAATAAACAGGTTTTTGTAAATAATAATAAAACAAAATAAAGTAACATTAAACCTGGTTGTCATTGAAATATTTAGGAATACAAAATCTCAATGATTTTATAAAGATCATAAAATAATAAAATAAACTTTATGATAATTTTATAATTAAATGAAATAACAGATTCATGAAATAAAGTATCATTATTTTACTTGTTTCGTATTTTACATAAAATTAAAAATGTGTTAATTGTATTTGAAAATATTCAGAGTGATGCAAAAACAATGAGCATCAATTGTTATTGTCTTATTGAAATTATTATTTTTGTTTTTTTTTTTTACATTTAAATTCTATTATTGAAAGTGTTATTTCAATGTTACATCTGTCCTCTGATATATATTGATTGCGATCCATGAGCACCAAAGTTTTGCTGTTTCCCAGCGGTGTAACCTCCTGGGCTTACAACAGTTGATCTCGGGGTTTTGCTTGACCTTTCTTCTCATGCCGCTGGGCTCAAAATTCCATCACAGCACAGACAGGATATTTCATAACAGTTGTGGAGCGTTGCCAAGTAATTTGCAGAGGGCATCCACGCTCACAAGATATCCCTCGGTACAATTGTCCCTTAGTTATTATTAAAGGGTGCCAAAGAGTGCTGCAGTAATGACTGTTTTTTGTGTGTGTGTGTGTGCGTCTGTCTCCAAAGCAATGTGCCCTTCGCAGCAGTGTGAAAATTTTATTTCTCGCCGCTGAGCACATCATCTCTCGTCTGTCTTTTAAACATGTATCGTCTATAGTTTATCCTCCACTGAATCTCGCTGACGCCGCGTGCCCGCCCCCCTCTTTGTGGACCTCCATAGGCTCTGAGCATCTACCAGAACAAAGACTTGATCACCGTTTACCACGGCGAGCAGGAGGGCCCCAACGACTTTGACACGGTGCTGCTCAAAGCTCTGGTGGGAGGTAGAGTCCAAATATGCAATCCTCATGGAGGACGTTGGACGTGTCGCGGTTGGCAAGCGAACTTAAAATGCTGTGCCACTTCTCAGCGTCCAAGCAGCGCGTGTCCGCCGACCACAGCCCGTACAACGAAGAGCTGAAGCTGGCGGTCACGTGGAACAGGGTCGACATTGCCAAGAGCGAACTCTTCAACGGAGACATCCAGTGGAGGGTGAGTAGCGCTGCACTACTTCTCCATAGACGAGGTGAACGCCACCTTCAAAGTCGAGTTGAGTCTTTCCCGAGTTCTAGCCAAGCCCTAAATTTGCGTCCTTCCGACGATCCGACAGTATGAAGACCTGGAGGACTCCATGACCGACGCCCTGGTCAACGACAAGCCTCAGTTTGTGCGCCTCTTCACCGAGAACGGCCTCAACATCCTGGACTACCTGACTTACGGCCGCCTGGAAGGCCTCTACAGATCGGTGGCCGACGGGACGCTTCTCTACCAGCTACTCCAGCGCCGCCTGCTGGAGAGACTCGGTACGCCGTCGCCCCTGCAGGAGACCCCCGGCAAAGGCATGGCTGAGAAAATTCACAGTGGACCGGTGGCTGAGCTCAGTCTTTTCGAGGTGATTGATTTACCTGTCACTCCTTCTGGAATGTGTGTTGATCGTCATTTTTTTAAATTGACTGTTACTTTGGTCCTCGTCCACCCCCCGCCCCCAACACAGGTGTCAAGAGTGCTCGAACTGTTAATGGGTGACGTCTGCCAGCCATTCTACTATGCCCCATTGGATTTGGAACAGATCATGTCCAAAAGGAGAGCAATGAGGGTATTCTCCACCTCTCCATTTTCTGCTGGCTTTTTACGTGAGCAGAAATACTGCGCAGAACTGAAACCGTACACCTTACACTGCAGTAGGAGTCTGCGTCTCAGTATAATCATGAACATTTAAACGCTTCTGTGGGATTTCCATTCTTTTGGGCTCTGAGTGGTAACGTCACACAAAGACATTGCACATTTTTGGGACAGAACCCTTTTGAGTGGGGTTTTAAGACGACGTCCTTGAAATTGAACACTGCGACATCTTCCACATTGTTTTAGCCATTAAAACGAGTCCAACTTGTAACGATCCGTAAAGCGACCGGCGCAAAAGGCTTCCGGCTGTTGAGTTGAGAGCACGTTGTTTGCATTCCTGCCGACACGGTCCCGATCAACTATGGAACGCCACACCTTGGGGAGGACTGCCATCTAGGGGAACTCGTAGCACACAGCGCTCGGCAGTACAGTACTCTGCAATATTCTCTGTACATATGCTAGGAAATGTTGGGACTGTGCTATGTCTCTGGGAAGGGCCCGTCTCCTCGATTTCATCACCGAACTGTGTTCTCTCTCGCCAGCGCGCCAGCAAGCTACTGCGTGGAGACTGTCTGTATCGAGAGAAGCGCTGCCTTTTTCCCTGGGCTTCGCTCTTCATCTGGGCCGTCCTCCAGAACCGCAGCGAGATGGCCACTTTCTTCTGGGAGATGGTAGCTCAACAAAAGATTGAAGTTCGGAAGATGGACTCGTTTGATGAATAAAACACTCTGGGGAGAACGTCACGGTGTTGAATTAGAAGGACTTTTCTACTTGTTTCCAGGCAGGAGAGTCGGTGCTGAGCGCGCTGAGTGGCTGCAAGATGCTCAGGGAACTTTCCAAACTGGAAGTTGAGACCGAAACCAAACTCTCGATGAAAGAGTTGGCACAGAAGTTTGAGAACCTGGCACATGGTAAAAAGCAGGAATTTGGTCCTACCGGACTGATACGCTACGGCTGAACTTTGACCTTCTCTCATGAAGGTTGACCCGAAAGCCGAGTAGCTTATTTTTTGCGATGATTGTCTCCTGTCTTTTATATACCTTAGCCTTCTTGTTTGTTTTCTGACTTTCAGATGTCTTCAGTTCTTGTTACCGGAGCAACGAAAGTCGGTCGTTCACCTTGCTGATTCGCAAGTCGCCGGTCTGGGGCGGGACCACTTGCCTCCAAATGGGAATGAGTGCGGACGCGCGCCTTTTCTTCAGCCACGATGGAGTTCAGGTGGCTTGCTTTGTTTCCGCGGACCTCAAATCCAAACGAGCATATCACTTGGTGTGTGGTGAAGGGACTCTTTTTGTACCCCCCTCCACAGTCTCTGTTGTCCCAGATCTGGTGGGGCGACATGAAGAGGAACACAGAGGTGTGGAAATTGTTGCTCACCTTCTTCTGCCCTGTCCTCTGCTACACCAACTTGATCTCCTTCAGGTAACATCAAGTCAACATTCTCGTTTCTAACTACAGGATCAGTCTTCCGTATCCGGTGGACCCTCAAAATTCCAAATTATCGCCCACCTGCCCCAAAACCTGGGATTGTTGTCCTTTGCGGACAACAATCCAGAACCACAATAGTCATCAGAATTGAATGCATCGCTCGGTTGGTATGATGTCACGCTACTGACTCGCGTGTCGGCGTCTCGCCTCCATCATGCAGGGTAACAGAGGAGCACCAGCAGGAAAAAGATGTGAAGCCCACCGAGGACACCGTGGGCCGGGACAACGACAGCCTCTATGGCACCACCATCTTTTCCTTCTCCGACATTAAGCACATGTAATCGGTCTTCCTCATTCCTCATTTGAGGTTGGTCTTGATTGCAAGTTTCACCAAACTGAACTGGCGTTGTGCTCCCACCCCCAGTGAAGCAGATTCCCAAGGAGTGTACACTCCCAGGACTGCCACCATCAAAGGTGAGTCACCGCCTGTCATCGGGTCTATGCGGCCCTAAATGCCGATTGAAGATGCGAGCCGACGCTTTGTTCAGGCCGGCCCCTCTCGCCGAAACCTCCCGAGCGGCCGTTCATCGTGTCGAGATGGCGTCAGTTCTGGTTCGCCCCAGTCACGGCCTTCTTGGGCAACGTCCTCATGTACTTCCTCTTCCTGCTGCTTTTCGCCTACGTGCTGCTGGTGGATTTCAAGCTGCCGCCCCCCGCGGGCCCCGCCATTACTGAGCTGGTGCTCTATTTCTGGGTCTTCACCATTGTCTGCGAGGAGATACGAGAGGTAAATGACGTCGAGTGTGTCTCAAGTTTGCTCCGGTGGCCATTTACATCTTTTTTTTTGCCTGTCTGATACATCTTTTTGTAAAATCCCCATTTATACTACACAACACACGTTTTTTTTTTTTTTTTTTATTGAAGTGAATAAAATTGATTTTATTTTTATTTTTTTTGTGACCCTCAGTCAAACAACGCCAAGTATACGATTACAATTTCCACAGTGACTTTGACTGATGCAATTTCTCTTTCCCAGACCTTCTTTTTAGGGACGATGACTTTGCGGCAGAGACTCAGGGTCTACATTCAGGATGTGTGGAACAAGTGCGACCTCACCGCCATCATCCTCTTTGTCATTGGCCTGATTTGCAGGTAATGGCTCATCCATGCCTTTGCACCGCAGAGTTTGCCTCCCTTCATCGGGCCAAGGAACATGAATTCGCTCCGAGAACGGCACACCGCCGAACAATCTCTCGTCACTCTTTCTCAAATCCCGGCCACACCAGTTTTTGGCATCCTCGTGATGATGACTCATTTTCAGACATGTATCTGTTCCATCTTGGCTTTGCGCCTGGATGCCTTTGTGACACCTTCTCTAATGGGCGTGATTTGTTTTTTTTTAATCAAGGATAAAGACAAGCAGACATGATTGTATGCGAGTTTTTTTCGAGTTCAGACAACAGCAGTCATCATGTCACTTCTGCTTGTGAGGTTAGAATAACGCCTGTGACATATGCTAACATGACAGGTCCACATCTGAGCAAACAATGGCTTTGCAGGTGAGACGATCATGTGTCCACGGCTTGCTCATCGAAATCAAAATAACATCGCCACAGAAAAACAAAAAGGACAAAACAAATCCACACCCCGCTCACACACTCACTTGGTACAATATACAGGATTTGCATTTAATCACAAAGAACTTTTTCTATCCAAATATTTATTGAGTTACATTTTTTATTTAACTTACAGGTTAATTGTTGTAATCATTGTGTAAAGTTGTGAGTTTTTTTTTTTTTTTTAATCGGCGCAGTGTTACTTTTGAAAGTACGGCACTTTGTATGCAGCGATGGCTGTTTGAAAGTGCTCTATAAATACAGTTGAGTTGAGTCTGCATACTGTTATGATGGCTGACAATCACATGAAATGCACTTTCAGAAAATGTCTCGTTTTTGAGGAGCACTCGAGCCTTTGCCGTTGGATTCTAATGTTAGCCATGATGCTTGCATTCATGGTGCTAATTAAGTCGAGTAAATCTGGCCAATTTTCCACCACACGCGGTTGCTCCTCACTTGCATGGCAAACTCGGAGGCATCGATGGTTTTGAATCCGGTCTGCTGCTGTTTCAGGATGTTCAACGCGTCCTACGAATTTGGCCGAGACGTGATGTGCGTGGACTACATGGTCTTCACGCTGCGCCTCATTCACATCTTCGCCATTCACAAACAGCTGGGACCCAAAATCATCATCGTGGGAAAGATGGTGTGCAAAAAAGATGACAAGGGACGGTCTATGAATGACCAGCGTTCAAATTGTTTTTTTTTTGTTGTTGTTCAGATGAAGGATGTCTTCTTCTTCCTCTTCTTCCTGGGGGTCTGGCTCATGGCCTACGGCGTGGCCAACCAGGCTTTGCTGTATTCCTACGACCCGAGTCTGGATCGCATCTTCCGCCGGGTTTTCTACAGGCCATATTTACACATTTTTGGACAGATCCCCGTCGAGGAAATGGACGGTAGGGGGAGGCGCCCGAGTACAGGTCGTACCGACTGTGAGAAGACGTTGCAATTTTGGACCTAAAAGGAATTGTCTCTTGTCTGCATTCCTGTCAGTGGGGAAGCACTGGGACATGGCCTGCACCAACAACGTGACGCTGATCGATGGCGGCGCGGAGCCGTGTCGAATTACGTACAGCAACTGGCTGGTCGTAATCCTGCTGATGATTTATCTGCTGGTCACCAACATCCTGCTCATCAATCTTCTCATTGCCATGTTCAGGTAGATGTGTGTGCCCCGAATCGGGGCTTCTCAAACTTCACGGGCCCCCCCCCTTCCGAGGGGGAGAACGTGACTCTTCATCTTTTTTGCAGTTACACCTTCTCCGAGGTGCAGGCCAACAGCGACATTTACTGGAAGTTCCAGCGCTACAACCTCGTCGTCCAGTACCACTCGCGGCCCTCGTTGGCGCCGCCCTTCATCATCCTCTCTCACCTCAACCTCTTCATCAAGAGGAACATCCGCAAGGTCTCCTCCGTCAAAATCCACCACTTCGGTCAGTCTTTGTCCCTTTCCGCCGACTTCCGGTCCTTGCAAAGTCGGCGAGGGTGAGCGGCCGCCTGTGTTTGCGTCTCGCCAGTGTTGCAGCTCAAAGGCAAGGCGGCAAACAGACTCATGACGTGGGAAACCATTCAGAAGGAGGACTTCCTCACCGCTCAGAACAAAATCCAGAAGAGCAGCGACTCGGAGAGGCTCAAGCGCATGTCGGCCAAGTGAGGACGGCCTTTTGATTCGCTCGACCGAAATGCTCCCGAGGAAACCCGCATAGGCTTAGAACGGATCCGATCCCATCACGGCGGCCACCCAAAAATCTTGACACAATTTGGACCTTTTTCCCTTTTGTTGTCGCCGTTTGACATGTTCAATCACTGCAAGATCAAAGTCTTGGAATTCGATCACGTCGGTGCAGCTCAGGTTGTGTCGATTTGCTTTTTTTTCGTATGCTGAAGATGAAGTCAAATGGCTTCTTTTGTAGGGTGGACGGTGTGATCAAACATCTGACTGAAAACAGAGACTTTGACCACAGGCTCAGGACTTTGGAGAGTGAGGTAAAACTGCCCACCCACCCACACACACACATACAAGTTGTACCTGTCATGAATACAAGCTTAGAAGCTCACAAGTTGCGCAAGACGCACTGAACCGATGAGTCAAAGGTTCAGAAAAGGTCAAATGAAGTCCACGTTCAAGGTCGTGATGCATGTGAAAGCTCATCCTCGCAATGTACTGATCGGAATTATCTTGAGCGGCGATTGGTGCGATTGTCACGATGAACATGACTATCTCGCAGATGGAATATTGCTCCAGCGCACTCAGCTGGATCGTCGATACTTTGGCGCAAGGCGGCTCATTTAAACCCCCTCGCCCTCCCCCGAACCTGAGAGGTACGTCCTAAAATTGCACCGGTTATACCGCTGACGGTATTTCAATTCCCTTTCTTATTGCTATCTATGTTTTTTTTTTTAAACAGATTCGTTCACACCTTGTTCTTGATGCGGCTTTGGTGAGGCCTCGGGTGAAGCGGGGGGCACGACAAAACGGTTTCACCTTGGCTCTTGCCATGCCAACGGGCTGCCAGACCCGGATTATGAGCGGCCTCGGTAGGAGGAGGAAACTCGGCCATCCCGACATTGCTCTAGTATCGAATGTTGGACTTGCTCCTCTTTTTAAAGTGCAATGTTTGCCGTTCAAATGGCAAATCATATTTTATAGTCTGCAACTGGATCATGGATAGAATTAATACGGATCCAAATCTGATGGGGGGGGGGGCCTAAATGTACTGCATGTTAATTCACATTTGATGCTGAGCGTGTACGATTTGTTGTCACTTTTATATTGTCCATCGAGTCACACGACTTGAGGAAAACCTTTTTGATTTTTACCATGTGAGGCGCAGTTGTTTTAGAATAAAAGCTATCACAATTTATTGGTGTGGAATTTGGACCTGTTCTTCTCACCGTGGCTGCCGTAGATCAACAAAGACGCATTATTTGTCATAATCATAAACCCTTTTGAGAATGGTCTACCGGTTAGAGCGTCGGCATCACAGTGCAGAAGTGCAAGGTTCGATTCTGGTTCGGGCCTTCCCGTGTGGAGTTTGCATGTTCTTTTTTTTTTATTATTATTTTATTTTTTCCCGTGCTCTCTGGTTTCCTCCCTCGTTCCCAAAAACACGCATGACAGGTTAATGGAGCCTCCTAAATTGTCTCTTGGCACGATCTCAACTCAACTGTATTTATAGGGCACTTGAAAACAACCGCCTTTGTATACAAAGTGCTGCACATGGAGCAATTATCATACATGCAACAATAAAATGAATTCAGAAAAAAAGTATAACAGACAATAACAAAGCCCGCGACCCTCGTGAAGAGACCCGGATTTGGATGGGTGGATGGACTGCACAGGTGTACCTAATGTTGTGGCCAGTGAATGTCACTTGATGTCATGTCGTGAAATGAAGCCTTGGAGAGCTTTAAGGGGCTTCTCAGGCCGGGGTTTGGGGGGATTGCAAACTCCCTCATTGATGCAAGCAATTGACAAACTGATGAGCGTGTGTGTGCGTGTGCGTGCGTGTGTGTGTGTGTGTGTGTGTCTCCAAGCAATCAAGTCTTACTGGAATAGCTTTTGAAGTCATGCTACTCATCCTCTGTCATCACTGTTTGTTGCACATGGTTGTGAAGATAGTATTTACGATACAACTCTTGCATTGGCTCGAATGGCCTTCCGCCAGTGTGACTGTCGTCAGGTTGTCATGCATCACATTGTAATGGGACCTCATGACCAGATGTTCTCTTAACATCGAGCCGGAGAAGCCGCTGAAAATGAGAATAAGCTGGCAGAAATGGTGGGTGAGGAAATGATTTATGTTGGTTTCATTGATCTAGACCACAAATACTTGGCAATTGAAGAGGGGTGTGTAGACTTTCTAGATTCCTAACAAACGAACAAACACTCTGTAAGAATTGAATCCCCTCCTCCTGTATTCTTTCGAGGTGGTCTTGTGGATGAGCATGCCGCCGCCATCTTTCCGTAAGGCTCCTTCTTCGAATGGCTTCCGTGCAAAAACAAACAAGACAAATGTCTGGGTAAATCGACTCGATTCTCCTGTTGATTCAATGCAAATCCCCGCTCAGGACTGAAGCCCTTTTGTTGCTTTTCAGGACCGTGGCCTCTTTGCTGTCGGCGCAGCCGGGCGGCGTTTTGACTCAGACATGTCACTCCACCCTGTGGTGAGATCAGGCACACTTTGCAAAAGGAACTTTTTGAAATAAGGACTTTATGATCAGAATACGGTGATATTTTATAAAATATTGGTCAGAATTTCACGTTATTCCTGCAACATTATGACTGATGTTTTTTTTTTTCTGTTCTTCTCTAACGCTCCTTTATCAGCATCTAATGCCTCTCCTCCTGTTTTGTTTCTATAGGAAAGGAAAAAAGAACGCGGGTAAGTCTTTTTTTTTGTTGAAAATGGAGACATCCACTTCTGCTTTTTGCGCGCCCTGAACAATTCCAACTTCGGGTGACTTTATTGGGCCCAAAGAAGTTCCTGTCACCGAAGCGCTTCATGAACTGACATTTTGAGTTGAAAATGTGGCGAGTGGGCACACGTGCTTCGCAAACCGGTTTTGTTGTATCTGCCTTGATGTCAGAGCGCGTCGAGACGCTGGCATCGAGGCGCCACCTAATCCTCGCCGTTAATGGAATGCGTCACACAATGGAAATGAGCAGCCTCCCCGGTCACAACGCCCTCCGTTTGTGGCCGCGTCAAGTTTTCGCCATCCTCCATCTATGTTTGTGTGCGTGTGTGTGATGCTTAAAATATTTTATCGGCGGCTGCGCAGAAGTGGTGACCAATCAGATGTGCGCTCCGAAAGCTTGTTAATCTGATGTGGGCCAAAGATACAACCAACACAAAGTTTTGGAGTTTGTACAAACTAACCAGATAGACTTGTTGTGGAGAGCAGAGGGAGGTTCCACTGAATACCGCCTCAACGTCAGATACGTGGCTTTTAACGTGACTGACTTCAAAGACTGTCCTCCCAAAAAGTTCCAATCACGGAGGTGGCCATCTGCCGCATCTGGTTTCCGCACCTTTTATCCGGGATGGATACCTGCGAAAAAATCCGACGCAGGTTATCGGATTTTCAATTTCACTCGTGACCCCCCGCACTCGCTGATTGGTCATGCAGAATGAGATGAGTTGAAAACGAGGGGAGCGGGCCAAACTAGGGCACATTTTTTGCATTGAGACACTGTCGCCGAGGTTCGACTGAACGATGCGTCGTTCAAAGGAAGGCGGAGAGCATCAAAGATTAGCCTCGTGTCCCATTGGCGATGCCCTCAGTTTTTTCTCCACCTTGTGATGGTTTTCCTCAGTTGTCTGGTGCTTGTAAGAGGGAGCACATCACTCCTTTGGGCTCAGCACCGGACTGGCGTTTAATTGTTTGTCGTTGACTGACTTGGCTTTGCTCCATGTACAGCACGTTGGAGAGAGCGGCGCTTGTTTTAGAAATACGGCTGAGTTGAGAAATAGGAGCTCTTCCTTTCATTCGGTCCCCCTTCTATCCGTGGAACGACACGACACGCTACGCAACGCAGCCCCTTTTCGCAAGCGACGCCCGTCCTGTTGTTGGGCCCGGGCGTAATCCCGAGAGTGTCGTTTGGCTTCTCGGGTGTCAGTTTACAAAAGAACTTCAAGAGTAGTTTTGTGTTTGAACACGGTCCAGTGCACTGGAAGACGCGGCTTTAGCGGGATTTCACGGTTGTTTGTGCGGCCTATTGCTCGCGCTCGCCTCAAAGGAAGCGCGAGACAGCACTGGCTTTATTGCGCTTGAAAAAGGCTTTGCCGTCATTTGTGTGAGACCACCAAAGCGGAACCGGTCAAGTGAGCGGTGAACGCTTGTCCAAGCATGAGGTCCGCCTGCGTGGCCCGAATGCGCCAAACGCAACCTCCGCGCACCGTGCAAAAAGTGTCTTTCCAAAGAGAAGACAAAAGGCCGAATGCGTTCCGTCGCCGAAGCAACACTTGTGCCCGGAAACTCCTCCGATGCCTTCACATGACCGACGCCGTTCTTCTTTGAAGCCAAACTTGGTCACGACGCCCCAAACATTCACTTTCAATTTCAGACAGAATCGTTTTGTTTTGGGCGTTTTTGCTTGATTTGGATTCACGTCATGCACTTTGCGTCGCAGCTCGTGTGCAAAAAGCACTCACTCTCCCAATCAAGTTTGATGGCGTGATTGGAATGAGCATTGTTATCGGATGTTGTTCCACGACGGAGTCCAGTTCCAGCTTGGGTCATTGTCTCACTTCAAAACAAAACAACCCCCCCACTTTATTGTGACAACAAAGCTCTGCCTGAAAGAAAGAAAGCAACTAAAAAGCCCTGGTCAGGTTTCGTGTCTCCCCCATCCAGGTTAAATGTTGTCATTGTACACAGTGAGGGACCCCTCCCTTCAACATCCCTCCCACTCTCGATCACATCGCCGGATCGCCACACATTTTCCATTTGGGCGTGCGTTCGTGTTCCCGAATAGATCCACGTAGGCGATATATCCTTGTTTCCCAACATCGGGGCTCGAGGCCCGATTGCCAAGGTAAGATGCTCGCTCCTCCGCGTCAGCTTTCTTTGCAACGCTGGCGACTCAGATGGAAACGGGCGCTAGAACGATGGGATGTTCATCGAGTCGCCATCTATTGCATTGGCTCGAATGGCCTTCCGCCAGTGTGACTGTCGTCAGGTTGTCATGCATCACATTGTAATGGGACCTCATGACCAGATGTTCTCTTAACATCGAGCCGGAGAAGCCGCTGAAAATGAGAATAAGCTGGCAGAAATGGTGGGTGAGGAAATGATTTATGTTGGTTTCATTGATCTAGACCACAAATACTTGGCAATTGAAGAGGGGTGTGTAGACTTTCTAGATTCCTAACAAACGAACAAACACTCTGTAAGAATTGAATCCCCTCCTCCTGTATTCTTTCGAGGTGGTCTTGTGGATGAGCATGCCGCCGCCATCTTTCCGTAAGGCTCCTTCTTCGAATGGCTTCCGTGCAAAAACAAACAAGACAAATGTCTGGGTAAATCGACTCGATTCTCCTGTTGATTCAATGCAAATCCCCGCTCAGGACTGAAGCCCTTTTGTTGCTTTTCAGGACCGTGGCCTCTTTGCTGTCGGCGCAGCCGGGCGGCGTTTTGACTCAGACATGTCACTCCACCCTGTGGTGAGATCAGGCACACTTTGCAAAAGGAACTTTTTGAAATAAGGACTTTATGATCAGAATACGGTGATATTTTATAAAATATTGGTCAGAATTTCACGTTATTCCTGCAACATTATGACTGATGTTTTTTTTTTTCTGTTCTTCTCTAACGCTCCTTTATCAGCATCTAATGCCTCTCCTCCTGTTTTGTTTCTATAGGAAAGGAAAAAAGAACGCGGGTAAGTCTTTTTTTTTGTTGAAAATGGAGACATCCACTTCTGCTTTTTGCGCGCCCTGAACAATTCCAACTTCGGGTGACTTTATTGGGCCCAAAGAAGTTCCTGTCACCGAAGCGCTTCATGAACTGACATTTTGAGTTGAAAATGTGGCGAGTGGGCACACGTGCTTCGCAAACCGGTTTTGTTGTATCTGCCTTGATGTCAGAGCGCGTCGAGACGCTGGCACCGAGGCGCCACCTAATCCTCGCCGTGAATGGAATGTGTCACACAATGGAAATGAGCAGCCTCCCCGGTCACAACGCCCTCCGTTTGTGGCCGCGTCAAGTTTTCGCCATCCTCCATCTATGTTTGTGTGCGTGTGTGTGATGCTTAAAATATTTTATCGGCGGCTGCGCAGAAGTGGTGACCAATCAGATGTGCGCTCCGAAAGCTTGTTAATCTGATGTGGGCCAAAGATACAACCAACACAAAGTTTTGGAGTTTGTACAAACTAACCAGATAGACTTGTTGTGGAGAGCAGAGGGAGGTTCCACTGAATACCGCCTCAACGTCAGATACGTGGCTTTTAACGTGACTGACTTCAAAGACTGTCCTCCCAAAAAGTTCCAATCACGGAGGTGGCCATCTGCCGCATCTGGTTTCCGCACCTTTTATCCGGGATGGATACCTGCGAAAAAATCCGACGCAGGTTATCGGATTTTCAATTTCACTCGTGACCCCCCGCACTCGCTGATTGGTCATGCAGAATGAGATGAGTTGAAAACGAGGGGAGCGGGCCAAACTAGGGCACATTTTTTGCATTGAGACACTGTCGCCGAGGTTCGACTGAACGATGCGTCGTTCAAAGGAAGGCGGAGAGCATCAAAGATTAGCCTCGTGTCCCATTGGCGATGCCCTCAGTTTTTTCTCCACCTTGTGATGGTTTTCCTCAGTTGTCTGGTGCTTGTAAGAGGGAGCACATCACTCCTTTGGGCTCAGCACCGGACTGGCGTTTAATTGTTTGTCGTTGACTGACTTGGCTTTGCTCCATGTACAGCACGTTGGAGAGAGCGGCGCTTGTTTTAGAAATACGGCTGAGTTGAGAAATAGGAGCTCTTCCTTTCATTCGGTCCCCCTTCTATCCGTGGAACGACACGACACGCTACGCAACGCAGCCCCTTTTCGCAAGCGACGCCCGTCCTGTTGTTGGGCCCGGGCGTAATCCCGAGAGTGTCGTTTGGCTTCTCGGGTGTCAGTTTACAAAAGAACTTCAAGAGTAGTTTTGTGTTTGAACACGGTCCAGTGCACTGGAAGACGCGGCTTTAGCGGGATTTCACGGTTGTTTGTGCGGCCTATTGCTCGCGCTCGCCTCAAAGGAAGCGCGAGACAGCACTGGCTTTATTGCGCTTGAAAAAGGCTTTGCCGTCATTTGTGTGAGACCAAAGCGGAACCGGTCAAGTGAGCGGTGAACGCTTGTCCAAGCATGAGGTCCGCCTGCGTGGCCCGAATGCGCCAAACGCAACCTCCGCGCACCGTGCAAAAAGTGTCTTTCCAAAGAGAAGACAAAAGGCCGAATGCGTTCCGTCGCCGAAGCAACACTGACCAAAGCGGAACCGGTCAAGTGAGCGGTGAACGCTTGTCCAAGCATGAGGTCCGCCTGCGTGGCCCGAATGCGCCAAACGCAACCTCCGCGCACCGTGCAAAAAGTGTCTTTCCAAAGAGAAGACAAAAGGCCGAATGCGTTCCGTCGCCGAAGCAACACTTGTGCCCGTAAACTCCTCCGATGCCTTCACATGACCGACGCCGTTCTTCTTTGAAGCCAAACTTGGTCACGACGCCCCAAACATTCACTTTCAATTTCAGACAGAATCGTTTTGTTTTGGGCGTTTTTGCTTGATTTGGATTCACGTCATGCACTTTGCGTCGCAGCTCGTGTGCAAAAAGCACTCACTCTCCCAATCAAGTTTGATGGCGTGATTGGAATGAGCATTGTTATCGGATGTTGTTCCACGACGGAGTCCAGTTCCAGCTTGGGTCATTGTCTCACTTCAAAACAAAACAACCCCCCCACTTTATTGTGACAACAAAGCTCTGCCTGAAAGAAAGAAAGCAACTAAAAAGCCCTGGTCAGGTTTCGTGTCTCCCCCATCCAGGTTAAATGTTGTCATTGTACACAGTGAGGGACCCCTCCCTTCAACATCCCTCCCACTCTCGATCACATCGCCGGATCGCCACACATTTTCCATTTGGGCGTGCGTTCGTGTTCCCGAATAGATCCACGTAGGCGATATATCCTTGTTTCCCAACATCGGGGCTCGAGGCCCGATTGCCAAGGTAAGATGCTCGCTCCTCCGCGTCAGCTTTCTTTGCAACGCTGGCGACTCAGATGGAAACGGGCGCTAGAACGATGGGATGTTCATCGAGTCGCCATCGGGCTTCGTGATTTCATCCGCATTGGGAGCGCGTGACCGCCAAGGCCGCAGGGGACGGGTGAAAACGCGCACACTAAACTTGTTTCTTTCTCTGTGAAGATGCGTCGCTCCCTGATTGCGCTGTGCCTGAATGTGTTCATCCATCACGGTGAGTGAATTTCATCATCGTTTCGGGGTCCAATCGCAACTGTTGAAGAAAAAGGGGGGGGGGCGGAATCGACTGCACATACGTATGATCGGACTTTGGCTTTTCTCCTCCAACAAATGCAATTTGCAATCGCTACTCCTGAAGTGGCCCTTATTTAGAAATGAGACGAGCCTCATCGTACGCGCGCTTTCTATTGACAGTGTTCACGGTGTTTAGTTTTTTTCTTGAGAGGACTGTCACCAGAGGGTCATTGTATTTTTCCATTCCACCCCCCGCACGAATCAGCTGCCACAAACGCAGATAGCTGGTGCTACACGGGCTGCGGTAAGTAAGTTGTGACCGAGTGGCGAAAAGGGCAACGGCGAACGGCTTTGAACGGCATCCCGGCCGCCCCCTCTGAACAGAGCACACGCCCGACCACTGGCAAGATCTGGACGGCTCTTTCTGCGGGGGTCAAAGGCAGTCCCCCGTCAACATCCTGAGCGGCCACGTCGAGAGGGACGCGACGCTCGGCAGCTTCTCTTTTGTGAACTTCTCTTCTCGGAATGCCTTCAGGGCCATCGTCAACACTGGACATACAGGTACAATCAGAGCTCCGCTGACGTCGCCACTTTTCAATTGGTCGTCGGTTCGTTCCGCAAAGTGTGTCTCGCCTTCCGCTTCTTTTGCTCAGCCAAATTCTTACTGAAGGACAATGAGGTGGAACTGAGCGGGGGTGGACTCAATGGCACCTATTCCACCATCCAACTCCATTTCCACTGGGGCGACACCGAGCACCATCCCGGCTCAGAGCACGCCATCGACGGCCACAGACACCCAATGGAGGTGCCCGCTGCGTGCGTGCGTGCGTGCGCGTGGCCAGGGAGCGAGGGCTCCTCATTTAAATGACATCCAATTGGCTTCAAAAACATCCAAAGGGTCACTACAGATTTTTCTGTGTGGGTGTGGGTTGGGTGTTTGGAGTTAGTCTTTCAATCTGTTTTGACATTAGTTTTTCATTCATCATTCTTTTTTGGGGGGGTTTTTCCCCAGTTAGTCTTTCAATCTGTTTTGACATTAGTTTTTCATTAATCATTCTTTTTGGGGTTTTTTTCCGTAAATATGCTTCAAATCAGTTTAGTCTTTTTTCGATTTAATTTTGGAATCCACGGTGTTTGTTCTTGTCGTGTGCAAGATTCATTGAATTATATGCTTCAAATCAGTTTAGTCTTTTTTCGATTTAGTTTTCTTTTGGAATCCACGGTGTTTCTTCTTGGCGTGTGCAAGATTCATTGAATCGATTGATAGACATACTGTATGCACGAGTGTATATAATATCTATCTAATATGTGGGCGCTATGCCGCATTTGAACGAGTTCATTCACGTTGTCAAATGAAACACATTTCATCATGAATCAACACCCCCCCACTCCCCCAGCCCCAAATTGGATCTCCGTATCAAATGGTCACACCTCAACTTGCAAATGCTGCCAAACAACATTGACCAGCGAAATGCGGTCCAGCAACTCTCTTCCGGGAGGTCGTTTTGAAGGAATTGAAAGCGCTTGCCGATTGCGAGACTTTGAAGCGAAAATGATCCTTTTTCCTCGCAGATGCACATTGTGAGTCTGAAGAAAGGTCTGTCAGTAGCGCAAGCCCTGGAAGATTCAGCCGGCATCGCCGTTCTTGGCTTCTTCATCAGGGTTTGTGCGGCTAAGCGGCAATTTTCCCGAAAGCCTCCGACTCACTCAACTTGCTGACGACTGTCCCTCCTAGGCGACCGAAGATGAAAATTTGTCAAATCCTTGGAGTGCCTTGACCTCTTACCTTCTGAAAAACACAGGTGCGGCAAGTGGCTTGAAAAAAAACAACAAACCAACAAACTTGTACGGGTTATTATGTTTGCAAACATGTCAATCATCTGACCCTTCCTTGGCCATCATGAGGCGCTGCACATTTTTCGAAAAGCCGTCACTGGGATTCAAGTTCGGCCCTTTGCCATCGCAGCAAATTAATATGAAAGCGTTTTCAAAAGCCAACCTTTGAAGTTGATATCTCCTGGAAGAACTTGGGAGACGCACAACGTTCTTAAAATGCGTTTGTATTGCTACTATTGGAGTGTCCCGATGTGAGCTGTTCTTCGTATGCATTGCCAACCAAGTTCAAGCGCTGAAAATAACTTGAGAGCAATCCAAGTAACTCCCTTGGGCGCTTCAGTTTTCTGCTAAGTGTCGTCTGACTCAATCAGTTCCTCGTTTTGCCACCACAAGATTAGTGTTTGGCTGTTTTGCTTTGAAATAGTATCAAGTGAAAACACGTTGATGAGATACGTTTGAGTGCACCCGTTTTGGTTGGAAAATCAGCGCCGTCATACTCCGTTGCAGAAAGAAGCGTGTCGGCCGGCACGGGCTGCGCCGCCGAATCGCACCCGAAGCTCTTGAAAGACTCTTTTTAACCGATATTTCCAGACAAAACAAAACAAGACAAGAATTTGATCAAGGAGCGTTGTCGTCTGACATTATTGTTGTGGCAACCTGACGTTGGGTATTTTGCCTTTCCCCACAGGCACCGAAGTCAACGTGACGCACGCCATCTCCATCGACGATCTCATCGGCGATGTGAATCTGACCAAATACTTCCGCTACATGGGCTCGCTGACCACGCCCTCCTGTCATCAAGTGGTAGCCTGGACGGTATTTCAGGAGCCTATCAGCGTGAATAAAATTCTGGTGAGTATCCCACTCATGGCAGGCCACCAGCAATATTTGAACGTGGCCTCATTTCCACCGGCCTTCTTTCAAGCATCTGAACTCATGCCGCTCACCAACATGAACATTTGCAGTTGCGTGCAATTTTGAAAGTGGGTCGAGAGCTTCGATTAAAAATTGCAGTGCTGGCAAGAAACGACGGCACGTTCGCCGCCGATGCGACGCCTTTTCAAATGGGGGCGTTAGTCCAACTCTAAGCCGGATGGCTTTGACTATTTTGGAATGAACGGTCAATGGAAAATCCAAAAGAGATGGTCCACGTCGCTTTTTCAACACGAATGTGACGCTAATTTGGCGATGTGTGAATTGTCTCGGCGGCCCGCGCTTCCTTCTTTGCCCTTCCTTTTTTTTTGCTCGTCTTCTGCCCATTTGTTGGCAAACGAGGGACGGGCATTTGTCTATTTTCCCTCGGTGAATATTCACGCCATAGCTTCAGTTGGTCAATGTGTGTGTGTGTGTGTGTGTGTGGGGGGGGGGGTGGTGGTGGTGATGAAAGCAAGTAAAATGCTCTTGCACAAAAAGCACCAAATAAGAAGCTATAGCTTGGCACACAGACAAGGTCCTGGCATATTTTGTCATTTCATCTTGGCTCCATTCCAGTTTTTTCAGTGTCGTGAACTTTCATTTGCACGCTAATGCTGATTGCTGTGCGTCATTCCCAGCAGGTACAACCGCTCTTATTTTGGGCGTTGACAGAAGTTGGTGATAAGCCAGAGGCCGCGTTGCGCTTGTCTCTCTCTCTCTCTCTAGCAGCTTAGTGACAACTTGCGTCAACAACTGCAACTTTTGATCTTTGTGGGAGTTTTTCTCTTCTGTTTTACCTGTTAGAGGAATTTGAAAAACTCAAGTCAAATCTCCCAATGATCTTTTTTCCAAAAAACAAAAATGATGGTGAAGGTAGCGTAAGCTGGTCTGGCGTCCCACGTCGCTCGGAAGGGGCAAAATTGGGCCACTAGGAAGACTAGCCCGGATTCAACCTTGGAAGCCGTGACTGTGCGGACGTTGCGCTGTTCACAGGCGTCACGATGCCGCCTCGGCAGGATTCTCCAAATATTTTGCACGCATGTCGCATGTGTTTTGATCCGGACAGGTGCTGAGTTCATGTCACCCTTTGACAATACTTCAGAACCATCTTGATGGATCGACTCCATGTGAAGATGTGGGTAAAAACAAAAAGATAAGATCCTGATGCCATCCATGTCATCCTCTGATGTTGACAGCCGTCCTCACACCTGTATGGGGGGGGGGGGGCAGTGTGACCTCAACCGGTGCGCCGCCTTCTTGCGGCACGTTTGAAATCCCCTCTGTGTTCTGTCAACAACCAAAGTCCGAGACAAAAGGAAGGTTTACATACCAGGAGACTTGTCTTGATTGCTTTGTTACACTGTTGCTCAATTGATACTGTCAGGGGCAGCGCGGCGGATGACTGAGCGCATCCACCTCGCGGTTCCGACATCAGTTGCCCGTTTGCTTCACTGAAGCCTCTGTTGAGGTCTTGATTGTAGACCAAGCAGTCTTGATTGCTTTGTTACACTGTTGCTCAATTGATACTTTCAGGGGCAGCGCATCCACAACGCGGTTCCGACATCAGTTGCCCGTTTGCTTCAATGAAGCCTCTGTTAAGGTCTTGATTGTAGACCAAACAATTGAGTCAATGGCTAAACTATCGCGCACGTCCAAGCACACGATTGTTCACGTGCGTTCCCCTCTTGTTCGCTTGGCTCGCCAAAGTCAGCGGCTAACGTGTGAGTGACACGCGGCTCGATGGATTCTGACAGCTGTTGCGCAATGCTGACACCATTTCCCATTGCTTTTATTCCTCCCAATCTGCTTTCAGCTGCAACAGTTTCCGCTCAAGACGGGCCTCACCAACGTCTACCGCCCGGTGCAAGACCTCCACGGACGCCAAGTGTTTTCTTCCGCCGCTCTTCTTCTCCCACCCAGTGAGTTGGAACGCGGAAGATAAAGTCACAATTCAACGCGGCGCTTCCCAACGTCTTTGCCAATGTTTTCTCAGAACAGAAGGGTTTAGAAGGGTGTGTCAAATCTCCCAAGACATTGACTTTCGCTTTACAGGGCCTTGAACTTGGTCGTGCGTTTCTGATATTTCAGCGTTTCCCAACCTTTATCGAGACAAGTCTTCAAGTTTACATTCATCAAAGAGTTGAATGCGTTGCCCTGCTTTCTCCTCCCTCAGGTCACGTTTGGTGCTACGACGACAACTGCGGTAAGACGTCATCAAAGTCGCCCGAATCCGCGTGTGCCGAGCGCAGGATGGTTGTTTAGCCCAAGTGGGAAGGCTCATCATCCCCCAACCCCCCCCCCCCCATGTCCCCAGAGTTCAGTCCTGCCAAGTGGCACCTTCTGCCCAACTCGCACTGCGACGGCGAGCGCCAGTCGCCGGTCAACATCGAAGCAAAGAAAGCCGTGAAGGACGAGCGCCTCGACGGCTTCGCCTTCACCAAGTTTGACGACAAACATGTCATCGAGTACATCACAAATACAGGCCATACAGGTTGCAAAATGCTCCTCCCACTCATCTGAAACTTGTGATGATGGTTTGGAAGTGCGAAAAGTAATTAGCGACAGTACGGGAACAAAAAAAAAAAAAAAAAATCTGCCTTGACAAGAATTAGAATTTACTGAGGTTTAATTATTGCGGTTGTCGTGTCAACACCCAAAAGTCTCCTATCAATGAATCTTCGTCATGTTCTTTTTTTTTTTTTTTTTTTTCGTGGAAAGCACGCTAGCAATCTTGATGAGCGTCCACTCGTCGTCCGTAACATTAGGTACGGTTGTATTTGCTTGCAAATGAGTGCTATCCCCCCCCAATGCAATGCAATGGCACACTCATCCATATTTTGCCGACAGAAACAGATGAACCCGGCCATAACCAAACATTTCTTTCCGTAACGCTCGTACAAAGTAAGAAAAGCAAAATAAAGGCGTGCATCTCTTCACCAAAGACCACTGGATACGTTTCTCGCGAGGTGAGGGGGCGTCGACCGTTTTAAAATGCAACCATTCGATTCAGCGCTGCGACGATTCCGCTCCATGTGCTACACCTGTCGCTTTTGTCATGTTCATTCACAACGTTGTGTGTCGTCTCCCTTTTCAGTCAAGTTTGTACTGAAGGAGGGGGCGATGGAGGTGTCCGGCGGGGGCCTGGGTCACGTCTACTCCGCTCTCCAGTTCCACTTCCACTGGGGTTCCTCAAACCCCAACTCGGAAGGCTCCGAGCATACGCTCGATTCCAAAAGATTCCCCATGGAGGTGCTTCGAAAACTCATCCCAAACATTTCCTGACATTTGTTGTTTTCTGACAGCTCTCGCTCTCTTTTTTTTTTTTTTTTTTTGGAAGGTGCACATAGTGAACAAGAGGAAGGATTTAACTCTGGAGGAGGCGGTAAACACCACAACTGGCCTGGCGGTGTTGGGATTCTTTATTGAGGTAACGTGTGACAATCGGAAGGGGGCGGGACAATGACACAAAAGCGAGCACACCCCACTCGCCCCAAAGTGAAACATTCCAAATTCTGATCAATTATTTTCCCACCATATGTTTTTGCTCAAGTGCTATTTTCCCTTCTGCACATTGCAAAGGTTTTGGTTGTGTTCCCCCCAATTTTTGGGGGGGTACTTATTCATTGTACGCTCCAGATTCAGTGATGTCACAACAAATGGTGCATTTTCTTTCTAGGCTGCAACAATTCCCAAAAGTCGGGATGCTGCTGAGCAACATGAAGATGTGAGTCCAGAAAAAAACATGTTTCTCTGCCATATTGCAAGCCACTGAATTGTTAAAATAATGTTGATGTCTTGGATTTAAAAAAAAAAAAAACAAACAATTTTCAATATAGTCCCATGACTCCCCTGATGACTCGTCTGATGAGTCAATGACTGGCTCCTGGAAAGCACTCAGCAGCTACCTGGCAGAGATACAAAGCATCGGTGCGTACAACTATTTCCTTGTATTTGGGTGCGTGTGTGTGTGTGTGTGGCCTTTGAGTAAAAACATCTTTGTACGGCTTTAGTTTCCCGATAACTGGGGCATTTTTTTTCTCCAGTTTGCGCATTTAGTGGTATCCTCCATTTGTACTCGCCTCTCTGCAGATCTTTTGGGGCGGGGGCGGGGGGGGTGTCCATCTCATCACAGAGAAGGGATTCTCAAAGTGTAATACATTTGAATGGAACATGATGAAAGAAGAGATTGTTTTCTTTTTCTATATGCAAGTGCAGCGTCAACGGTAGCTCCCGATGTTCAATGCAAGGTCATTTCTTGCTTTTCCGTCCTCTCGGGAAATGGAAAAGGAACGGACAGACGAGACCGAACCGCCTGGTTTTTGCCGCAATGCAGGCTCCCGGGTGGAGGTGACGGAGGAGCTGTCTCTCGCCGGGCTGCTCGGCGACGTGGACCTGGCCTCTTACTACCGCTACAACGGCTCCTTAACCACCCCCTCCTGCAACGAAGCGGTGATCTGGACCGTCTTTAAAGATTCGATTAAGGTGGATCGCAGCCTGGTAAGATCGTCACGAAGGGAGTGGATGTGGGCGTGAGTGCGAGATGTGACTCGGAAACAATTGGCCCAATTATCGGATTAAAATGATGCGCGCTCTGTTCGCATGCCTTCGAGCACGCGCGTTGATCAAATATGTCAAAGAATTCTCCGTCGCCAGTCCGAAAAGTTTTTGAAAAAGAAGATTTGCAAGTGAAATTCTCGGACGCAAAAACCGCCCGCTGACGGCAAAGGTCCGTCCATTGGCCATTGGGCAAAGTGCGAGCATATTTTGTAGCTCCTCTCAGGTCTGACGGGTAAGTCGAGTCGCCTCCGCTCCATGTGAAGCCTTCCAAAGCAACGCCTCCAAAGTAATTGCAAAATATGTGCACGATGGTATAGTGGAAATGTACAAGCGCCTGCCAACCTGATATCGATCGGCAGAGTATGTGCCTGAGGTACACGCGAAGGCCAATCGAAAACATTCTGTGCTGCGCTTGGCCGATCGGTATCTGCGGGACGCGTTACGCAGTCCAAAGACCTGATTTGGCCCATTGCAAAAGGGCTTCCTTGGACTCGGTCCTCGCAAGTGACAAACTCAATCCAACCGATGCAGTCATGAAGTCGGAGACCGCGTTTGCCTTGACCCCGTTTCTCGCTGTTTGTCACGCCCGCCTCCAGCTGACCACGTTCCCGAACCGCAGCGGCTTTGGCGACGTCTTCCGGCCCCCGCAGAGTCTTCGCGGCAGGGAAATTTACACCACGGCGACGGGCGGCGCCCTCGCACCCGCCATCTTCTTTCTGGCGCTGGTCCAACTCTGTGGCTTTCTCCTGTGATTGCAAACTCCCGTGTACTTCCTGATCGATATCCGATGTAGAGTTTTGCAAGGGTTTTCGCGGATCGCGGCAGTCAGCGTCAGGATCGCGGGTGAATTATCGGGACTGTTTGTGCCCTTGATCGGTCAATCATATCAAGACCTGCAATTGTTACGGACGCTGATAAATCTTCTGCAAGGTGTGAGGTGGTGTGGGCCGCAATTCATAAAATCAAATGCAATGATTGAAACATAGTACATGGAATGGCAAAGTAGGGCAACGTTTGGGATACTTTTCATACAGTCACCTTTGTCTTTGACTTGCACCGCTTCCGAGATGTGTTCTCGGTCCAATCAGATTTCAGCCTTGCCGTGTCAATATCGTCTGCTCGGGACCTTCAGAATCAATCGTCATGCGCAACGTCGCTTAAAAATTTCTCAGGTCAGCAAAGAAACGCTTTCTAGCTAGCTTTTGGTTGTACTCCCCCTCCTCCCCCGTAAACCGCATTCTTTTTCGTCCAGGGTGAATCTCTCCACACGCACGCGCGCGCACACAAAGATGAATATCCAGGAATGCAAGGTTCCATTTGCCGACTTCACGTTTCAGCTACTTGATCAGCTACAAGATCCAGTTTGTGGTGACTCAAGCACGCTTACATGAACCGAGTCGCAAATTCTCTCATGACTATGTCTTCAAAATCCATTGGCGCATTTAGGTTATTGTGCAATCGATTTGATCAGCTTTTTCCTCGGATCTTTCAATGCAACATTTCCTTCAATTGTAAAAAGATCATAATATCCCGTTTTGCTTTTGGCATTTTATTTCATGTCGCTAAGTTTGCTATCAACTGGTTAGAATCGCAGCTCGCATGTGAAGAACTTCGAAAATGAGCATGATGGCCAAACCAGCAGCTGTAGGTGGAGTCAAACTATAATTCAAACACAATCTCTTTCTTTATTTTGTAGGAATGGATTTATTCCGCGATATTTTTAAAATCTGGATGTTTTTTTTTTTTTTAGGTGCCCGTGTAGCTGTTACGGCGTTGCGCCAAACACCACAGATGACAAAATATCTCATAGTGTGCGGGTGGTGGATGAGCTGGACAAATCAAACCAAATGACTGTTTAATGGATAAAATAAAGGTTCCGTTCTCAAAAACCGAAGGTGCTTCAATTGTCCTCCAATTCTCAAGCGGCCCATACGCGCTACAGAAGAGAAGCGGATTACGAGGCGTAAGAAGATTCGATTCGAACGGAGACACCATTGTTGCAAATTGTGGCATCTCACTCAGCTATACAGTCGTTTATTTTTCCTCCGTGTACAACACTTATCGTATACAACGGCGGTTGTTTTCAAGTGCTCTATAAATACAGCTGAGATGAGAACGACTTGTCATGACGTAAGCCCGAGCCAACTCGGTCGCCGCTGACTCGGCGCTTTGAATCTTAATTACAATGTCAGACTGACAAAACCTGACTGCAGACCTTCTTTTGCAACACACGCGGCCTTTTTAGTTCCCATGGAATATATTTCACCGGGGCCTTGCGCGGAAAGACAAAAGGTGCTGGCTCGCGTGCAGAAGAAAACCACTCATGGGAGTTCTTGTATCGTGTGAGAAATGTGTGTGGGACGGGGGGACGG